GTGTTCTGGCTTCCAGACCAGGAAAGCTCTCGCTTCAGTGGGAGGAAACCATTTAGCTGAAAACGCTCAAAGAAAGCGAGCGATGCTTCTGTTATTTATACTACCAGCTATCCCATCATGCAACGTGCTACAGCACCTGATTCATCATAGAGCGATTATGGGTAAGGAAAGGTGGAGACGCCCCTCCCCCCGTCTCACGCACATTAAAGTCCATAGGGTTTCAGCCCTGCTAACGAGATCGCGGATACAAGCGGCTGAAATGAGTTTTCTCCGCAGAGTGTCTGGGCTCTCCCTTAGAGATAGGGTGAGAAGCTCAGTCATCCGGGAGGGGCTCAGAGTAGACCCGCTGCTCCTCCACATTGAGAGGAGCCAGTTGAGGTGGCTCGGGCATCTATCTGGTCTGGATGCCTCCTGGACGCCTCCCTGGTGAGGTTTTCCGGGCACGTCCAACCTGGGAGGAGACCTAAAGGTAGACCCAGGAGACGGTGGAGGGACTATGTCTCTCACCTGGCCAGGGAACGCCTTGGGATTCCCCCGGAGGAGCTGGCCCAACAATCATTCCCCGACTTTGGAATGATCTTCCTTTATCCTTACGCAGCACTGACAGTCTTGTAATCACGTTTAATTTGTTTTATGATCTTCTATAATTTTATGACTTTATTTTTTCTGATGTTAATCTATTTCTGATTTGATGACTTTGTTTTATTTTGTTCTGATCTATGTGAGGCTGTGCTTCTGTGTCTGTGACGAGGGCTGTATGAATAACATGTACTTACTTTACTAGTGGCTGGGGAGAGGGAGGTTGGGCCTCCGGACTTCAGCTGCTGCTCCGTGACCCCCGTGACTCCGGATACTGGAACTCACGAGAGTTCCCATGGGCCTAAACAGTTTCTCTGCTGTCCACCGTAGAGAAGGGGGCGGCGTGATGTCACATGCAAACGGTCATTAGCTGTGAATAGCCTTTAGCTAGGACTAGCCATTAGCTGGGACCAGCTGTTTCCTGGGACTAGCAGTTAGCTGTTAGCTCAACAGTCAAACAATTAACACTCGTTATTTCTCTGAATGGAGGCTGTTCAGGAAGTTGTCCACGGTCAGTTAGGAGTTATTTACTGTTATTAACATTTGTACTGAACCAGACGGCGGATGTGCCTTTGGTTCATGCTAGCTAACGAGCTAGCATTTGCTAAAGCTATTCATGTTTAAGGTGTTTCATTAACACCACAGCCCTACAGGAAACAGTCTGATGTAACAGATCACTCGTGTTTCCTTACAACCACGATCCTGTAGAGCCTCAGGCCTCCAGAACCTCCTCAGAGGAGTCGCAGACACAAACTCAGGTGTGTGAACCTCGTGTCCTCCATTTGTCTCGCTACTAACAGCTGTTTGTTCTGCTGGACGCTTCATGTCAGCGCTTGTTCTGGGTTCATGGTGTGTGTGTGTGTGTGTGTGTGTGTGTGTGTGTGTGTGTGTGTGTGTGTGTGTGTGAGTGTGAGTGTGAGTGTGAGTGTGTCTCTGTCTGTCTGTCTGTGTGTGTGTGTGTGCGCGTGTGTGTGCGTGTGCGTGTGTGTGTGTGTGTGCGTGCGTGTGTCTGTGTGTGTGTGTGTGTGTGTGCGTGCGTGTGTCTGTGTGTGTGTGTGTGTGAGTGTGAGTGTGAGTGTGTCTCTGTCTGTCTGTCTGTGTGTGTGTGTGTGTGTGTGTGTGTGTGTGTGTGTGTGTGTGTGTGTGTGTGAGTGTGAGTGTGAGTGTGTCTCTGTCTGTCTGTCTGTGTGTGTGTGTGTGCGCGTGTGTGTGCGTGTGCGTGTGTGTGTGTGTGTGTGCGTGCGTGTGTCTGTGTGTGTGTGTGTGTGTGCGTGCGTGTGTCTGTGTGTGTGTGTGTGTGTGTGTGTGCGCGTGTGTGTGCGTGTGCGTGTGTGTGTGTGTGTGTGTGTGTGTGCGTGCGTGTGTCTGTGTGTGTGTGTGTGTGTGTGTTTGTGCGTGCGTGTGTGTGCGTCCGTCCGCGTGTGTGGTAGTACACCTTTCACTCACCTGCAGACTGACACCTGGGGAACACCACAGCTGTTTGTACGAGTCTCTGTAATCCTAACAAAAACGAGGCGCCAGCTGTTGGTGTGAATATTGCGACTCTTATTGAAACTGTTATTGCATTAGCCGGTGGCTCATTTGTTTACCGCGCTGCATGACAACCAGGAAGCAGAGGCGTGAAGCTACCTGCTGGCAGGTGTGCTCACACTAACACGCTTTAGTTTAGACGATTCTACGTGTTCAGACAGCAGCTGCTTGTTGTGGCTTGAATGCCTTTAACCTTTACACGGAAGTCATCTCCGGGGTTCAATTCAAATCTTGTATTTCCATTGCTACATGTAAAATACTGCAGAACAAGGCTGCTGTCTGTCTGTGACCTTTAACCCCGCCTCCTTTCCTCTGCTATTGCTTTACTGACTTCCTGTTTGGTTTGGTGGGACAGGAGCTGATGAAACCCTCACAGCTGCAGATGTCTGACTCCGTCTGTACCCGCCTCCACAGAAACTCCGCCTCCCAAGTGGTGATGATTAACCTGGCCATCTCAGACTGGTGTTTCTCCCTCACCCTCCCGCTGCGACTAGCCTACTACATCAGAGGCGGGATCTGGGACTTTCCTGACTGGTTGTGCCGACTCTATGTGTATGCCTTCTACGTCAACCTGTACTCCAGGTAACGACACCTTTCTCATTCAGGAAGTGCTCACCATTTCCTGGAGCATTACTTAGGTCTGCCTCTTCCTCCTCAGCATTCTCCTCCTCACTCTCCTGAGCTTCCTCCGCTGGCTGGCCGTGGCGTATCCCATGAAACATTCTTCCATGGCTACGACCAGGCGGATCGTTTTAGTTTGTCTGGGAATTTGGGTTTTTGTGGCTGTTACCTCAGTGCCATTTCTGTTCAACGGTGTCGTGAACAGGTGAGGCCTAACAACAGCAGGTGAGACAGACAGGTGTTATAAAGTTACGGGTTACAGGTGAGTATGGAGGAAAGTGATGAGGCCTGAAGGACATCCCAGCAGGGAGCAGGACGCTGGCCACACATCCTGTACCGGAGGAGTCCATCAGCTTGATGACATTAGGGTCACCGTGGAAACCATCTGTGGCTCTATATGGTCACCGTGGTAACCATCCTTGGCTCTGTATGGTCACCATGGTAACCATCTGTGGCTCTATATGGTCACTGTGGTAACCATCTGTGACTCTATAGGGTTACCGTGGAAACCATCCTTGGCTCTGTATGGTCACCATGGTAACCATCTGTGGCTCTATAGGGTCACCGTGGTAACCATTTACTGCTCTATAGGGTCACCATGGTAACCATCCTTGACTCTATAGGGTCACCGTGGTAACCATCCTCGGCTCTATAGGGTCACCGTGGTAACCGTCCTCGGCTCTATAGGGTCACCGTGGTAACCATCCTCGGCTCTATAGGGTCACCATGGTAACCATCCTCGGCTCTATAGGGTCACCATGGTAACCATCCTTGGCTCTATATGGTCACCATGGTAACCATCCTTGGCTTTATATGGTCACTGTAGCAACCATCTGCGGCTTTATTGGGTCATCGTGGTAACCATTTACTGCTCTATAGGGTCACTGTGGTAACCATCCTTGGCTCCATATGGTCACCGTAGCAACCATTTGTGGCTCTATATGGTCGCTGTGGTAACCGTCCTTGGCTCTATATGGTCACCGTAGCAACCATTTGTGGCTCTATATGGTCGCTGTGGTAACCGTCCTTGGCTCTATATGGTCACCGTGGTAACCATGCTTGGCTCTGTATGGTCTCCATGGTAACCATGCTTGGCTCTATAGGATTCCAGCCCTTGGTGAAGGTATTTGAGGATCACTGCTCTATAGGACAACCTGTAGCTTGTTAGGGTCACCGTGGTAACCACTGGCTTGTTGGTGTAACAATGATAATCATGAGCATATCGAACCACTTTTTGAAGAAAAAGCTACAACAACACTTAAGTTCGTTGTGGGATTAAAGTACTTTTTCTCTTAGGGACGAAGTCCCGCGCTGCTTTGAGCCGGGACCCAGACGCTCGTGGTCGATACTCCTGGGCTTTAACTACGTGGGGTTGGTGTTCGGCTTCCTCGTGCCGTTCTTCACCATCATCTTCTGCTACAGCAAACTTATCCGGCGCCTGACCACCTCCCCCCCTGTAGGCAACAGCATGACCACCCGCAAACCCACCAGAAACAAGACGCGTGCGGTGCACCTGGTTTCCATGGTGATAGCTACCTTCCTGTTGTGCTTTCTGCCCTACCACCTGATCCGAACACTGCACCTACACGCCAAAAATGGTGGGTGGAGCTGCAGGACCACACAGCTGCTGGAGAGTGCCGTGGCTGTGACGCTGTGCATGGCAGCGTGCAACTGCATGGTCAACCCCCTGCTGTATTACTACTCTACCACGTCATTCAGGAAGGACATGAGGGACGTTCAGTCCTCTCTCAGGTCCAGCAGAGGAGGGTCCCTGATGCAAAAATTCAGCCAGTCCCAAAGAAAGCAGAGTGACTGATGAACCATCTGGAGTCTAAGAGACATTTTCTTCACCCAACCTTCCAATGCACTGGTCTGGATGCTCTGTCCTCTAGCTGTCTCCTGATGTCCAATGGTCCCACGTCTCCTCTCAGAATGGGATAGAAGAATGAGACTGAAGCCACCTTTACAGCTGGGTCCTGATGGTGGTGTTTCAGGAGGCTCCTCCACCCCAGGAGGGCCTTCTCTTTCTGGGTTAGAACCCTCCCCCCACTCCCTTTGTTCTGAGGTCACACCTCGATGCACTGAACTCTGAACTTTGTGTTTAATGTGAATGATGTTGATGTTTATTTAAATGTTTGATGATGACATTCAGTAAACAGGGAGTGTACTGAAATGAAGGTCCCGTCAGGAACATCCTCTGTTCTTACTGCTGCTTGTTTTTGTTGTTACGTTGTTTTCGTTACCAAAGTAAATAAACAAGTAAACACATAGATTTGTCTGTATTCTGGTGTTTACCTGAACCTCAGGTCAGTGATTGGGGTCTGACCCGGGATCTCTTCCAAAGATCTCCAGCAGTAAGGATGCTGATCAGAACCACCTCATCTAAAGAGGTGTTCTACTCTGTCCTGACATCTAAACACGTCGTGGTGCTGCCAGCGTTAAACACCAGGCGCCGTTTAACCAGAGGTTTAACCCTAACCCTAACTACCGCTTCTCTCTACTCAGAGATCATTGCGAAGAAGCAGCTGATGAAGTTCCTGGAAGTGCATGGGTTGTTGGAAGACTTCCAGTCTGGTTTAGAGAAGGATCTGATTACTGATCTTGGCATGAAGCCAGATTCAGCACTTCAGGGATGATACGGCTGAGCTGGGCTCTGACTCCATGAGCCAGGCTTCTGACATGACTACAACCTCAGGCTTTGTAAGGTCAGGATACACAGTGTAGTAAAAAGCATTAGGATCTAGATCCACCCGCTCACGACAGAAAACCTCAGAGCGTAGGGGGAGGGGTGCTAGCGGCACACCTCACACAAGAACTCACATTCCTCAGAAAGAGGAACTACCAGAACTGAAGGAAAAGGCTGAGAAATGAGCTTTTGAGGAGCTGGAGCGGGCTCCAGGCGTAGCTCATAGGGCGGAGGAGGCCAGAAAACAGCTACAGGTTCAGCTGGAGGAGCAAGTGAAGGAAGTTGAAGGGGCGAGTGAAGAGGAGAGGAGGAATCTTCAGCAGGAGCTCACACGGGTCACACAGGAAGTTGTCACCATAATGAAGAAATCATCAGATGAAACGGTTTCTGATCTGGAAAAGACCCACGGCGAAGCTCGGGCTGCTGAGGAAATGAAGGACTGAATCAACAAAGCAGTGGAGCAGCGCAGATGTCCACTGTGCAGAAGCTGCAGGAGAAACTTAAGGAAGCAGCAGTGAAGCTTGGAAGTTTTGTCTCGGGGTGAAGCGTTGCGTAAAGAGCTGATGGAGACAGCAGAGAGAACCTGAAACAGGCGCTGAGTGAGAGAAACACTGCGAGACCAGCTGAAGACGACTGAGGTGGAGCGTTTGGAGAAGATCAAGACTTTGAGGAGTCGAATCAAACCGAAAACCAGCTTGACGCTTTGAAAAATTCTAGACTGAGTGAAACTGAGGACTTGGAGAGTAGATTTAAGGAAACAGCCATCCAGCTACAAACCAAGGAAGCAGCAACTAAATGCACTCGTCAACAGTGTTGGGAGTAACGCCGTTTAAATATAACAACGTTCTTTATTAGGTAACGGAATAATCTAATTAATTACTTTTCCCGTCGTTGCAACGCCGTTACCGTTACTGGGGACGGAAGGTTGTGCGTTACTATGTGCTTGTCGAACGTTGAGCAGCAGTGTGAGGCTTTCTGACCGCCACACTTCAGCTGCAGCCAGGGAGAGAGAGGTGTCGGTAACGCGCTCACAAACACGATGATGATTGGCCGAGTGGGCGGAGACCCTCAGTGTTCTCACTGTCACTGTATGCTGTAGACACAACAGAGCAGTGATGGGAATAACGCCGTTTAAAATAACCACGTTAATAAAGAAATACTTCTTTCAGTAATGAGCAAACTAATTAATTACGTCTTCTTTTATCAAAACGTCGTTTCTGTCACTGGTAAGGACATGCGTGCGTTAAGCAGCGCGGTGTGTTGAAGCTGTCATCATCAGCTGATCAGGAGCTAAAGAGGTAGATGTTTTCATCCAAGAGCATCACGGCCGTGAAGAACGAGGAAGACGTGATGAATAGTCTACGGCTGCAGGTGCGGGTCTGCAGCCGTGCCCTTCTTAGCGTGACAGCGGGACGTCCCGAAGGTCCGCTCACCTGTTCACCGCTCAGACGTCCTGATCTTCTACCTTCCTAGATCATCCAGCTGTAACCTGTTTCTGATCATGTCTTCAGTCCCGCTGTAACACTGATGCATCAGTCTCAGACGTCATGGAGCTCAGGTGTTATCAGAACTACCTGTGTGTGTTTACCACCCAGCTTCAGCTCTTCTGTGGTTGGGTCTGACCCACGTTAGTAAATGTAAGTCCTCCATCAGGCTTGTGCCTCTTCTAGTGTCATTTTAAAGGATTTTATTTATTTATTTAACCGTTACTAGATTAGCAGCAACAGAAATGCTGCTAAAAACACACATTTATGTGAAGCTGGAAAAATTAGAATACTGTGCAAAATTATATTTATTTCTGTAATTTAACTAGACTGAGAGACCATTTAAAGGCTCGGGAACCTTTACAGGGGTTTCTATTTGCAATTTTAAATTTTAGCTGATTGGGGTCTTGTTGAATATCACACAGTGACCTTTTAATAGTCTAGATCAGTGGTTCCTAACCTGGGGGTCCCGACCCCCACAAGGGGGCGCCAAAGCCTCTCAGTGGGTCGCCAGGACCTCTCCACTTTAAGGGGTTAAAACTTCATTTATTACTTGTTTATAGCCTACATTTTGCTCACATTTTTTTTCATGAGTGAAAAGTTTACTGATATTAAGACAGGAAATAATTAGTACAGAAAGAGTAACACACTTTTAAGAACATTTTGCTCAGCTCACTGTTTTATTTTCAAGTGTCAAAAGCTCTTTAAAGATAGGACTGGTTGATTAATCACAGCGTTTGCAGTAAATAATCTAGTATAAACAGTAATATACACATTTAAGTACATTTTGCTCAGTGTATTTTTTATGTGTCAAACGTTTATTGAAAGGAATGATTGATTTATCAGTGTTTACAAGAAACAATGTGTTCAGAAAAGTAACAAACTGTCAAGTACTTTATGCTCTGTTTGGTTTTGTTAATGACTTTGTTCTGTACTGGAGCCTACTATTACTGTTATCTATTAAATCAAAGCATATTAAAATGTGCTTGAACAATTATTTCTTAATACTGTTTGTTCTGGACGAGAGAATGGGAGGGGGTCGTCAAAAATTTTACTGGTGAAAAAGGGGTCCCTTTGGAAAAAGTTTGGGAACCACTGCTCTAGATAAGTGTAATGTTCCTATTAGTAGTTCCTCCTGTTAAGTGCTTATTTATTTAAATTATTCAGGTTTATAAAAAACATTTGGACACACATTTTATTATGTTCCAGTCATTAGTCATTAATATTTCACTATTGTAGTAATTCTTGCATGCTTTAATGAAAAAAGTAACTAAGTAGTTATTTTTCTTGGTAATTAGTTACTTTTATGATCTTGTAACTCAGTTATTAACTGAGTTACTTTTTTGACAAAGTAATCAGTAACTATAACTAATTACTTTTTAAAAGTAACGTTCCCAACACTGCTCGTCAACCAAAAAGACCGTTACTGTCTGGAGGTCCAAACTAGATAACACCAGTGTAAGTGTGTTGAAATGAACTCTGATAGAGTTGTGTTGTTCATGCTGAATTTGCTGTGTACATTACAGCCAGTGTTAATTTTCAGAATCAGTTATCATTCAAGTTATTAATCTCCACCATGATTTCGTGACTTTTAATACTTTTCAGTGTGCTATGCCAGGAAGCTACCAGCTGAACACTGGCTAACTGGTGCCTTGTACACCGCACGGCTGCTATCAGTCAGAGGGAGAGGATCACAAGAAGTAGAGTCCTGAGCACGTGGTATGAGCCATGCACCACATGTTTATTGTGTTAGCGGAACACACAGCGGTCCCATTCTTTTGACCGGCCTCCTCGCTTACGGTACAAACATGACATCACAAGCTAAACCACATTAGCAACAGAGAACAAAGTACTAACTAAGAACAACACAACTCTGCAAAATAAACATGCATAAACACCCCAAAATAGAACAAACTCACTAAAAACATGACTACCCACCATGCACCTCGCCCACTGCAGCTCCTGCAGCCAATCGGCCGCTACCAGTCCAGCTTTTAGAATAAAAGGGCGGAGTCTACACATGAACTCTGCAGGTGTTACGGCTGCTGTGGGAGTTCAGAGTTAGATTTTCAGGAGTTATTGTGTCCTAAATGACTCCTACAGAGTTGGTTAGGCAACACTGGGCTTTAACGATCACGTCAGTGTTATAAATAACATCTACATAACTCGTTTTAGTGTTAAATGAACTGTTCTTGGTGTTAAATTGTGTAAAAGAGCCACACCGCAGCCAGGAAGAGGTAGGCCACGTCAAAAACTTTTTCCTCACCAAGGAAAGTGGAATTTGCACTTCGGAGGAGAGTCTTGTCCAGCGCAAGGAGATGACCGCTCAGGTGAACGTTCACACGGAGCCCATCAAAGCCTTCAACCTTTCTCTGTTCAGCAGTGAACACCTGCAGAAGATCGAGGAGCTGAATGAAGCGAACAAACTCGTATCAGAAAGTCTGAAAACAAACGAGCTGCACGTCACTGACTTGGAGAGCCCGGTTGCGGACTTGAACAACCAGCTTGCAAGTAGCATGAAAGACCAGGAGAGGGTTAAAAGAGGAAGTGGCCGTTGGAGAGGCAGCGGTGCAGGGTTCTGCTCTCCTCCAGGCCTCGTTTTGTTTCCAACCTCTTCGATTAGAAGAGTGTAACTTTTATAATAATGCATTGAACTTGTATAGCGCTTTTCTAGATACCCAAAGACGCTTTCACACACTCTCACATTCACACACTGCTAGTGATGGTAAGCTACTTGTAGCCACAGCCGCCCTGGGGAGGTCTGACAGAGGCGAGGCTGCCATTTGGCGCCGTCGGCCCCTCTGACCACCACTAACACAGGCGAGTTGGGTGAAGTGTCTTGCCCAAGGACACAACAGCAGGATACCCCTGGCGGGAGCTGGAATCAAACCCATGACCCTCCGATCATGAGGCAACCCACTCTACCACCTGAGCTACTGCTGCCCCATTATAGTTTTAACTCCGACCGATCCACGTGGATCTTTTGTTCTCGTCAACTTGGTTGACTCGGTTTTTAAGGTTAACGTCGTAGTTTACCGACGTTGTGATTTTAAAACACTCGGTGTTTTCGTACTGCGTCGGTTTTTATCATCAACTTGTG